AGTTTACATTTGTCAAAAGTTACATGTTCAAAACCAATTACAATATGATGTCAAAATACGAGATTAAACTGGCGCCGCAGCATCCCTTCGTCAAAAGCGAAATGAATACCTGAAATTACTGATTTCCTGGGACATACAAGTAATTTTGAAAGAGTAGATCAGCATTTAAGCTGGTGAGTTTCATAAGTATTTAAGTGACAATGTTTGTATGATATGAAATGTTTTGTCTTTGTTTGTTTGTGTTTAGAAAATCCTATATTTTCTACTAGTATAAAAGTAGCCTTCACTCAAGACCAATGTTTGTTTCTAAAAATGTATGTAAGTGTAAAACAACCAATGTGTTTGAAAACCTTGTAAATCAATGCATTTTTAATACCCCATGTGAGTTTTATAACCATACTATTGACTCGGAATGCCTATACACAACGTTCTTCAGGCGTTGGAATGTTATGACGTTTGTCACCCCAAACGGTGGACTGCAGCTAACAGTCAGGGCGCGGGTTGTCAAGCCCGTATAGATCTATACACAAACACCATGCTCCCCCTTCAAGGGATTCTGGTATATAATACAGGACTTGAAATGTGTACTCGAACGTACATGAAGTTAGTGTCTCACAAAACCGTGGTATAAAAGCAGATCTACTTGTTAAAATGATACGTTTGTTCTTGTATACGAAAGTGACTTCTTGAAATTCATGTTTCTAGTACATAAGAGTTAGAAATTTGTTCGTAAAACTATACCTATTATAGTTTTCTAAAAGTGTGTCTCGTTTGTTTAAAATACCAAGAAAAGGAATCATTTGTTATGAAAGCATAGATTTTCGGTGTAGAGTCTAAGAATGATAAGTATAATCTAAGAAAGTTTAGTTTATACATGCATTACAACAAATTTATATTTCAAAAGATAGAATGCTAATTTAACATATTATATATATATATATATATATATATATATATATATATATATATATATATATATATATATATATATATATATGAAAGTTCCTTAAAAGTTTGTAAATCGCATGTGATTTGGATATATAAAAGCATATAAAAGAGTTCTTTATGTAACACACGATAATACTCGTGTGTTTTACTTGTAATCCCCCCCTTGAAAGCATATAAAAGAATTTATAGAACCTTTAAAAGGTAAATTAAGGGGTATGAACTCACTTGAAAGTTTGGAGATAGCGAGATGGAAAACCGGGCAGAGTCTCATCTCGGGAAACGGATTTTTCTTGGGATTCTTGAGAATCTCGGGAGTAAAATCGACCCTTGGGACTTGAGCAAAAAGACCAGAGCTTCGGGTTTGAACGGGCACGGAAAACGAGGCAATATCGTGAAAGAAAGGAGAGAAATGAGCATTTTTCTCGGAAGCCCTCGCATGCTATTTATAGGGGGGCCTGAGAAGCCTCATACGCAGGGCGTACGCTCGTACGCAGCGTGTACGCGTACGTCATGCGTGACCGAAGCCTCGACTGCCTCGGCTTCGGATGGAACGGATCAGTCTGCCGGGTCGGATGGGACGGCGGGTTGGTAGCCTCGCATAGGGCGACGTGGACGATTTGAGACCAAGTTCCTCGGGTACGCAGGGCGTACTGGAGTACGCAGCGCGTACCTCGGATGAGGACGCTGACTCCTCTTCGGATTATGCTTGAATTTTGAATTAAATAAATATATAATTTATTTAATAAAATTCAAAAATTCATATCTTCTT